CACACACACACACACACACACACACACACACACACACACACACACACCAGTGTCTCTCCCATCTTTAAAAAATCCTCACTTGGAGAAGATGCTGGGAAGGTGATGGAGTAGGTCAGAAAATTCCAAACTCTCAAGATTTTCCTCCACAAAAGAGATAAACCAGCACCTAAGTGTAAACGTGGAGTGCTGAAAATAAATAAGAGAAGGGGCAGAACTGAGGTCCTCCTGGGACAATAGGAGAAGATCTGAAGAAAAAACCCAGGACTTTTGGTTCCTGTGCAGAGTAAACACCTCCAGGCCTAAGGGATCCCTTAACCAGCAAACTGCAAGCCCTGGGGTTATTAGCTGGATTGGGAGGCTGCCTGGGCCCCAGCCACAGGAACTTTTACAAATTCTGGGGAAGTAAGTAGGGTGTCTGAACCTGGGAAAATCTAGGGAACTTCTGCTGACAAGGAACGCTGGACCCAGCTGTGCTGAGGAGATGCTACCTGGCAAGAAAGGCACAGCACATACCAGGTGAGTGGAGAAGCAGTGGGCACTTATAGGAGGCTGGAGGTCTTGGTTTGGGTCAGAGAGGAGAACTGAAGGAGGATCTGATACCACCCACCATACCGCAGGACTAGAGGTGATTACAAAAAGTTAGCTATTAAAAAAAAAATGCACAGGCAAAAAATAGAGAATCCAACCAAAGAGAGCTACTATGGGAATAGAGAAAACCAGGGTTCGTTTTCAGAGGAGGATTGTAAAGCAAAGAAGCCCCCTCTTCTACCCCAACGAGTAATGTGAAATGGTCACCTGCCCCCCCCAAAATTCATAGAATTTAAAAAAGACTTAAAATCAAATGAGAGAGATTGAGGAAAAACTTAAAAAAAAAAGAACAATTCAAGAAAAACAAAGAGATTATGAAAAAAAAGTCAATTAGAAAAGGATATCCAGACTCCTAAGGGAGAAAATGACTCCTTGAAAATCAGAATTGGGCAAAGGGAAGCCAACAAAGGCATGAGAGACCAAGAAACAATAAAAGAAAATATGAAGAATAAAAAAATAGAAGAGAATGTGAAACATATCATAAGAAAAACAACTGGAGAACAGTTCAAGAAGAAAAAACACAAGAATAATTGGACTACCTGAAAGTTCTGATTTAAAAAAAAATTATCTTGACACAATAATGCAAGAAATAATTAAAGAAAATTGTCTTGAAGCAATAGAACAAGAGGGGAAAGTAGAAATAGAAAAAAAATCCACCGGTCACCACCTGAAAAAGATCCTGTGAAGAAACCCCACAGGAATATTATAGTCAAATTCCAAACCCCCCCCCCCCCCCAGCTCAAGGATAAAATATTACAAGCAACAGGAAAAAAAAAATTTACATATGGCAGCGCCGCAATTAGAATCACATAAGACCTAGCAGTAGCAACACTAAGAGACTGCAGGTCTTGGAACACTATATATGAAAGAGCAAAGGAATTGTGCTTCTGGTTGAAAACCATACCCAGCAAAGCTAAGCATAATCCTGAATGGGAAAAAAAACCAAAAACAAAACAAAAAAATAAAAAACCAGCCATTTAATAAATTGCCATACTTTCAGGACTTCGTTAAAAATAAACAAACCTGAACTTGATA